CCAGCGCTCGCGCAGCCGAACCTGCCGGCAGCGACACCTGACAGCGGCCCAATCAAAGCGTGACTTCCCTGCCGTGCCACCAATCAGCGGAGGGCGCGCACCGGCAACAGAGTCAGGCTGCGTTGGCCGGCGCCTCTGCGCGGAGGAGGGTGGCCCCTAGTGGCGCTGTGGAGGAAGTGCGACCTGATGCTCCCTCCGATTTCAAACTGCGTTGCCACACTCCAGATGCTTGGTCTAGATACTTTCCAGTGAGAGGAAGAAGGGGGGAAAAGCAACATGCAAAGGAAGAGGAAGAATTTGTGCTGTTGCACCTCCTTGAGGACAAAACAAAACAGAGTATAATATACGTAGGGATCCAATAAATATCAGCTGAAAATGTTAATAGTGCAGACGAGTGAAGAGACTGGAGTCAAAAACAGAGACAAAGAGAGAAACAGATCAGAAAGTTAAGGGAAGGAACAGAGAGGCTTATTTATGAAGGAGTCAAGTAAATGAATGGACATGGAAGACTGAACAAGTTGATTCCTATCTCTTCACTTTGCTTGCTCTCTGCCCTCTAGACTTGACTCCTGGCCTTGCCTTTAATAGCTGTGCAGCCTTGGACAAGTCACTGAACTTCCCTCAGCCGTCGTGTGAAAGCATTTCGTATATGTTTGTATTGTTATTATCTTTGAAGCCTCACTTAGATTTCCCTGATCAAAACAATTCCAAGTTCATTGTTTCTTTTCTTCACCCTTTGAGATTTTACCACTTTTTCTGTCAGGTGCATATTATACTGACCCTAAGGCTTCCCAAAAGGGATAGATATGATTCTAAGGACTGGCTCTAAGAGAAATAGATGCCTCCTTAGTTCGTGCTCAGGCTCATATCCCTTCTACCACTCCAACCCTTCTAACAAGTTATTAAAGCATCTTCTAGGTAATTAACTTGTCTCCTCATCCTCCTGAAAATGTAGACTCAGTCTCTAGTCATCCGTTGGAACAAAACAATTCAATTCAATGAAATAATACATACAAGAGTTCCTTGTAATTGTAAAGTGGTTTATGAATATTGAATACTATTGATAATAATTATTAAATAAAATAAATACCATATATATTAAGTGATTTCTTTTTAAAATATTTTTAATTGACCTGGCTGGTTTGGCTTAGTGATTGTGAAGGGTCCAGGGTTCAGTTCTGGCCAAAGGCATGTACCTTGGTTGCAGGCTCCATCCCTGGCCCTGGTCAGGGCTCCTATGGGAGGCAAGCAGTTGATGTGTCTCTCTTGCATTGATGTTTCTCTCTCTTTCTCTCTCCCCCTTCCACTCTCTGAAAAGCAATGGAAAAAATATCCTCAGGTGAGGATTAAAAAAAAAAAAAAAAAGATTTTTAATTGATTTTAGAGAAAGAGAGGAGGGAGAGAGAGAGAGAAACAACAACGTTGACTTGTTGTTCCACTTATTTATGCATTCAATGCATTCATTGGTTGATTCTTGTATGTGCCCTGACAGGGGATTGAACCCACAACCTTGGGGTATCGGGATGATGTGCTAACCAACTGAGCTACCTGGCCAGGGCTTGAGTGACTTCTTTACTCCTCTAGGCAAGTCTTATTTTTCCTCCTATAATTCTCTCCTCCTGCTTCCTACCTTTTAAATTTAGTAACTGCCCTCTCAATCAAATGACCCTTCTGTTTGGGAAGATTATCTCCCTCCTTTATCAGGGTAAATATACACTGTTCCAAGAAATTATATTTGCTTACTCATAGCTACGCCTCAATCTAGGTAATGAGCCCCTACAACACAGGTATGATTTTGCTTCTCCAAGAATGACCGAACTTCAACTGCTGAATTTGATAATTGCTCTCTTACCAGGAGAAAAAGGAGTTAAGTGATGGGCCCCAAAAGAGAAGTGGATGGCTTCTAAGCATATCCACAAAGGAGGAAGGCAGGGAAAGGAACACAAGGGAAGCCTGAGAGGAATGAAGGGAATAAGAGTGTAGGGGTGGGGTGGGATCTCATCATTGAGGCAGGAGGACACTGTGAAAGGAATGTCTCTTTCTCAAGTACTCCCCTCTAAGGTTTTCAGGTATCTTACTGTCTCGTGGGTACACCAAGATAGCTTAGGGAAGGGACTAATGCCACCATGCCTACCCCACCTTAACAGACTCCATACTGAAGCCCCACATCTCTATTTTCAGCTCCAACATTTATTCTCCTTTCTGCCAGACAAAAGTTAAATCACACCAAAGTCACACCTGGAGCTCTGGTAACACAACCCTCTTAAATCTGAGAAAAGAGAGGAAAAGAGGGAACCAGAAGGAAGGTGGAGATTCCCTGGAGACCTTATGCCCTTGGACACCACTCCCCCTTACACTCTGGATTAAACAGCATTAGGAAACCAAGAGAGGAAGCACATGTGGTGTGTGGAGACCTGTGCCTGCCTGTTCCATTCCTACACCCAGTCATTTCACCACACCCTGCACCTCACCTTACACTCCGCTGCAGTCCAGGATCTGGGAGCTACAGAGAGGGGAGAGGAAGAGAAAACTAACAATTCCCTGCCCAACCCCAGCCCCGCGCCAGTGCAATCAACAGGTAAGCAAGCTCCCGGAGACGACTGAGAGTCCTGTGAGTAGTCTGAAAAGGACTTCGAGAAGTAAAAGATCACAGGTGAAATAGGGGATGGGAAGGAGGGTGGAGGGGGGGGGGAGCAGAGGATCTTAAGAAGTGTAGGCAGGACAGGGCAGAGCTTCAGACCAGGGGTAGGGTCTGGGTGGGGGAACACAGCATAGATGGGCTAAGAGTTTATGTTTCCCTGATTCTTCTTAACCTTGGAAGGAGAGCGCAGGTATGAAGGGAGGCACGCTGGTCTTCTTCCTGGTTCTAAGGAAAAGGTGACCTTGAACCAGCGGGTGTCTTTCCCAGTCTCTGTCTCTACCTCTGGGCTTTCTCCGTGTCTTCCTCGGGTATCTTTGTTTAGTCCACGGTTTCCCCGCGGCTTCCTCCCCTGGGAAGACGGAGAGGTTGCCGGGGCAGGCTGGAAACAGAGAAGAGGTTTGGCAGTGTCACCCTTTCACATCCCCGGAGTGACGAATCGGGTTTCCAATTAAACCGAGAAGCTTGGGGGAAGGGTGCTCGAACAGACCCCCAGGGTGCTGTTCCTCTACTTGGTGCTGAAATCTGGGCAGCCTCGTCCCAGGGGTGCAAACCTCCGGGGCCCCCGAATCTACCTGGCTGGGGCTGCCCACCTCTGCCTCCGCACACCTAGACCGCTGGCAGGCGGGGGGCGGGGTCTGGGCGAGCCCCACCCCTGGAGACTGCGGCTCGGCCTCCCTCCCCTCCGCCCGCTACCTCACTGCGCCTTTGCTGCGGGCTCGTCCGTACCAGCTCCCCCTCCAGCCTTCGCTCCGGGCCTCGTTTCGGCTCCAGCCTTGCACCCAGTGGCGTCCGTCAGTCCGCCTGGTTGCATCCTCTCTCCGGGTTCCTGCCCTGAGCCAGCTCCTTCTCCTACATTCCGTAGCAAGATCCTCAAGCCATGGCTGGTCCTTTCTCCCGTCTGCTGTCCACCCGCCCTGGGCTCAGGCTCCTGGCTTTGGCTGGAGCTGGGTCTCTAGCTGCTGGATTTCTGCTCCGCCCGGAACCTGTACGAGCCGCCAGTGAACGTCGGAGGCTGTATCCCCCAAGGTATCAGTGTCTGAGCCCCCACCCC